ATAATAATAATAACAATAATACTTAAAAAAAAAAAAAAAGTACTCTTTTCCTCGTCCCTGCAAAAGAAATTTGCGCGGCTTGACATTGCCCCAGAAGAAAAAGCTGTTCAAAAGAAACCTCCCGCCCCAGCACCTCTCTTTCCATAACAAGGGATGAACACTCACAAGCCTTCTTTCTGCGTCCCCGACACCCAGGGCAGCCCCGAGGGTCCAGCCGGGAGCGGGGGCTGCTCCCAGCGTCGCCTCCCTGGGGACACCGACTCTGCCCAAGCATCGGGGCTCCCCGTCTGCTTTTTGCACTTTGCAGAGCAGTATCGCTCAGGCTGAAAAGCAGAATTCTCCGATTGCCAAGATCAAGATTACTCCACAGGAGGTTGGTCCATTATTCAGCTCCTCACCGGGCCTTGCAGGCAATATAAATATGCTTCTTGAAAAATTGTGCCCTTCTCAAGAAGTAATACAGGATGCCAGTCTGTTTCGAAATCCACAAGTGTAAAATGGAATTACTCTGTATTTAAAGTGCCCCACTAAAGCTCCTATCCACTTGCCATTATCCCCTATTTCCCTAATCCCTTTTTTAAAAAAGTAATTCCAAGTGGCAGTTAGAAAACCATACAACAGGAAACACAGTAATTGTCCTAAATAGCGCAGTTTTTCCTCAATACACACCTTCCTGATGTGTAACAATTTCTCCATACACTTTAGCAAAAGACAGACAGTTTGCTTAAAACGATGCCATAACATGTGAAAAATTAGTGTTCTACTTTTTAAAGTACATATTGCAAAATGTTCTCTCCTCCATGGAATTGTTGAGTAATTTTTAATATATCTTTATGATTAAAAAAAAAGGGTAATGGAGTGAGCTTAGAAAGCAATCCCAATTTATTCTAAGAAACATAAGGTTATTCTGACACAGCAAAAGAGTTTTGTCCTTCTATCATAAATCTGGCAAGAGCATGAGCAACTGCACACCTGATTTGCTCACACCTTTCCCCAGCTCCTTCTTTGCAAAGATAAACCAGAGGTCTCTTCACGGAATGTAACTGAAATGTGGCAGGTTTTGGCAAGTGCATACTCACTTTCAGCCACTCGTACTGAAAGATTTGTTGGGCTGCATCAAGTATCCTTACTCCATCACCTTTACAGCTGTGAACGTGTTGACGGCTGGATTAGCCACCCCATCCACAAATAAAGCATTTGATATTTCAGTTCTTGTTTTCTGCTTTCGCATTCCTAGACTGGAATCGAGGGGAAGTCAGCACCTTTTGATTGCTGCTTAGTCTCGTCAGGCACAGGCGGAGGGTAGCAGGAAAGGCACTATCAGCAGGGAGAAATGAAGTGGTGTTTTACATCACTTCAGCTCCACACATCTCCCGTCACTGCTCTCTATTGAAAATTTAAACTGGAAAATGACAATAAAAAGCCGGAATAATGGGTAAAGCAGGACACAAAATTCGATAGACATTGCTACGAGCTTGAAGGGAAGCGACTTAAAAGGTCAGAGAGCAAACGGGAATGGCCACAATCATCTGAAGGCAGTTGGAAGGTAAGTTGATGGACACCGGTTTGACCCACAGGTCAGCAAACTAGTTTAACTCTACCTTGATCTGCACAACGCAGAGACAAGTTCCCGGCTCCTATCAAGCAACTCAATGCCCTTATCTGGAAGGGTTTAGTAAAAGTAAATCCACTACAAAAAGGAGCTATTCAGCCTTCAAGTGCTGGGTTTTGCTGGTAAAAGAAAGGAAAAATATGTGCGTTCTCACACAGCCTGGATCCAAACTGGCAGCTCCCAAACAGCAGCAGCACATACTCCTTCCCAAGCCAAGGATGAGTTTTGCTGCTGGCTCTATCCCACTGCCAGACATTCCTGAGATGGAGCAACCACTGCCCTAAAGAAACCATCAAGTTCCTGGACAACAGCATTTTGATAGCACTCTATTTTCAGGTGTGTATTTGAGAAGCAGTATTAAAGTCATCCTCTGCTCCATTACCCTTTCTACTAGGTGCTCAGACCATTTCATCAGGACCAAAATTTCCAAGTAACATAACCACTGCCTCTCACTCCCATTGGGGAAATCAGGTGCTGCTCCACCACCCCATTTACATGGCATTAAAAACCAAAAACAGTCAGAGCAAACTGTTGCTTTGTTTCAGTAGCAAACTTTGCAGGCCTCTCTTGGTTGCATTTGTAATGAAGAAAAATCCGAATGCAGCTCAGAAAAAGTCAGTCAGAGCAACTCTTTTTTCTAGAGGTTGTTAACAGTCCCATCTAACCCTTACACTTGAATGCATCTGGAGTTGACTGGTCTGTGCTTTTTTGCCCTGCAGTTTAATACCTGTTGTTTAAGGTACTACCAACACCATGTGTTTTACATGCGTGTACTAAAGATCATTCTGCTATGCAGATTACGTGCTCTAGTCCTAATTTTTCAGTACCTCGACAGTGAGCATCACCTCCCTAGGTAACAGATGAGGCCAGATTTCCAAACAGAATCAACACGACTTCCAGACACTTCCCCATCCCCCCACTCCCCAAAGAAGGTGGCAAAAGAAAGTGTTAGGAGTTTGAAGGGTTTGGGTTGGTTTTGGTTTCGGTTTGGTGTCTTGGGTTTTTTTGCCAAAACGCTAAGAAAATGCACAATTGTGGTTTTATTGCTGTCCAGGTGGAGCTTGTGGAAAAGATTTAAAGGGCACAGCAAGGGCGGCAGCGCTTGACCGGCTGGCTGACAGCACCCCGCAGCCCCTGAAATTGCCCAGATTCCCGGTCCTGTGGGGAAAACGCCCCCGAACAAGAAGGGAGTTTTCACACACAGCAGCGAAGTTTCCCAGCCCTGAGACCTGAAGAAGTTACGGCTGGCTACGGCAATTAGCATCGCCCCCAGCCACAACCACCTCACCTCAAAACAAAAGCGGAGGACCACTTTTTCTTTTGTCTTTTAAAGCAATAATGACCCTCAGCATTTCAATATTAAATCTCCTTTCACAACGGATCTGGCGGGATGTGAAAAATAATTTCAAGGAGGAGGTATATGCAAAGCAGCTGCTCAAACATACTCAGATTTGTGAAAGGCGCTGTAAAATTAGTCTGATAAAAGCAATTTAACAATTTTCTAAAAAAAAAAAAGTTAATGTCTTTCATTTAGTTTCCTCTGATGGTGCATTTTAAAAAGCATGAAACAGAAAAACTTACCCATTTGAATGCCTTAAAGCTGCTCTCAGTATGTGCTAAAATTTACATTCGTTGTATATTCTCTTTTCTCTGAAACTCTAGAGAACAACTCATGACATATGAGTTCAAAGCAAATCATTGACTGTAACGATGGACTTACAAAGAAGAAAAACAACTGGCTGACCTAAGGTAGAATGATTTTCTGGAGTTTATTAATACCATTTAAAATATTACAGATAAAAATCAATTACATTTCATGCATTTAAAATGCAAATCTAAAATGTTCCAGCGAAGGGCTTTTCATTTCAATGTGAAATATCCAAATTATTTCAACATTACAATGAGACAATTAGTTTGCAGCATTGCAAACCGCTAATGTAGTGTCAGGAGTGTTTATTAACATTTATCAATATTATTTTCAGGAAATACACATAGGCCAACGTTAGTTCAGTTTCACTTGGACAGTTTATTTAATACATGGGTTGTGGCAAACCCACTTTATGAAATATAGGAGAACTCTCACCGTAACTATACCTGAACTGCCAGCAAATGCAAATAAGTACATGCTCCATTAAATTAAATGTCATTCAACATTTATCAAATATTGTTTGCTTAATTACAGTTGTATGCCTAGCTAAATTAATATTCAAGCAAAACCTATATCCTGAAGAGTGATTTGATGCACACTTCAAGAGAGGAGTCCAGGAAAAAAAAAATGCAGTGAACCAGGGCTGCAACAAGAATGTTTTCTCGTGACAGGAAAAGAAATAAAAATTAAAAAGAAAAAAAAGCTCAAGTGTACTTCAATATATTTTCAAATATTTACTGGAAGAAATTTACAAGAAAAATACTATACAAAATCGTCTCCTGGACAACTGCACCTCACACCGATATATTGGTGGAGTTTTATTTAATTGTTAGCTAATCTAGAACGATTTCCCAGTGGTACAAACCTATAGGTTCAGACGCATTTTACAAATATTTAATTTTCCTATTTCCCCCGGCCTCCCTTTTTTGGCATTGGAAATACATCTTCGCTTGAAACCCACGGCTCTTCTTCATCTGTCTGAAGTTAAAAAAAAATATACGACTTTCAACCTAATTATTTTCAACGCATTTCGCGATTCCTGCTCAAACGAGAATTATACAAATATGCTGGCAAACGCAGTGAAATTCGGACTCGAGGAGGTAAACGATTTGTTAAAATTGGGAAAAAAAAAAGGGGGGGGGGATGGGGGAAGGGGGAGAAGGGAAATAAGCGTACTGCCGCTCCGGTCCCGGGGAGCAGACGGGCTCCGAGCAGGCCCCGGGATGGGAGCAGCTCCGAGGGTCAGCTCGGCGCTGTGCGGGGCGCGGAGCGCGGCTGGCGGCGCTGCCGTCGGGGCCCCGCCGCGGAGCAGCCCCGGCCCGCCTGCCCGCCCCGCCGGGGCACCGAGCGCGGCTCTGCCGGGGAGGCAGTGCGGGACGGTTTCCAGCAGCAAAGCGAGAGGGGACGTGGGTGTTTTTTCCGCTCTAAAAGCAACACGAGGCGGGGGCGTCTCGAGGCGAAGGGGAAAGGAGGCGGCGGCGGGGCCGCCCCGTGGGGGGTCGCGGCTCTCCGCCCTTGCCGAGCCGCTCCCCTGCCCCCGTGGCGGGGGTTGCGCGGCCCGGCCGCACCGCCAGCGCCGTGCGCGGCTCCGGGAGGGCAGCGGGGCCGAGCGCTGTTCTTGCGGAGCCGTGCCAGCTACTTACGTGTCCGCGTCCCCGCCGCAGGGCTGCGCGCTCGGGGGGCTGCGCCACCGGGAGGGCGGCGGGACTGGGGGGCGCCACGGCCCCGAGCCTCCGCCCGTCACTCCAGGCCGTTGCGGTGGCCGGGCTCGGGGGGCGGTAGCAGCTCCGGGGAGTGGCAGGGCGGGCTGCCGGCCGCGCTGTGCTCGCTGTCGGTGTCGCTGCCCTTCTTGCCGCCGGGGCCGGGGCCGCCGCCGGGGCCGCCGCCGCCGGGGCCCCCGGCGCCTCCGGGGCCGCTGTGGGTCTTGACGTGCTTGCTGAGGTGGTCGCTGCGCATGAAGCGCTTGTTGCAGACGGGGCAGGCGAAGCGCTTCTCGCCCGTGTGGGTCCGCAGGTGCCGCTGCAGCTCGTCGGAGCGGGTGAAGCGCTTGCCGCAGAAGAGCCAGTTGCAGACGAAGGGCCGCTCGCCCGTGTGCCAGCGCAGGTGCGCCTTCAGGTGCGAGGTTTTGCCGTAGACCTTGCCGCAGCCGGGGATGTGGCAGCTGTGCAGCCCCTTGCGGCGCAGGCTGGCCCCCGCCGGCCCCAGCCGCTCGGCCTCCTGGCAATTGGGGCAGTCGCAGGTGGCGCGCCCCGAGTAGCGGCGGGCGGAGGAGCGCGGAGAAGCGGCCAGCGGCGCGGCGGGGCCGCCGCCCAGCATGGAGCCCCCGGCGCCGGCCAGCGGCGAGGGGGCCGAGTCCGGGTAGGAGCCGGGCAGCACCGGCTTAAATCCGTCCATGAGATGCTGTCCGGCGGGGCTGAGGAGGTGCGAGGAGGCGCCGCTGCTGAAGGCCGAGTGGCCCAGGCCCGAGTAATCCGAATTGTAGCCGCCCAGTGGCGAGTGGAGCGAGGTCTGGAGTCCGCCGGGCGCGGGGTGCAGCGAGCCGGGCAGCGCGGCCGCGCCGTTGGGGCTCTGCACGTCGATCCAGCCGGCGCCCACGTCCCACCAGCTGGAGGCGCCCGCTGAGCCAACCTCGCCGGCGCCGAGCCCCGGGTGCGAGGGCTTGAACCAGGACTCGTAGGGGTGCGCCATGCCCACCCGCGGGTAGATGCCCTGCAGCCCCTCCACCGACGTGTGCACCTTGGAGATGAAGACGGGCTGGTGCGCCGCCGCCTCCTGTCCTGCCGCCCCACCGCCGCCGCCTCCGCCGCCGCCGCCGCCGCCGGCGGCGCTGCCCGGCGCCTGGAAGACGGAGTAGTCGTTGGCGAAGGGCGAGTTGGCGGCCGCCGCGCTGCTGGAGGTGAGCGAGAAGGCGCTGGAGCCCGGCGAGCCGCCGCAGCTGAACGAGTCCGAGACGAGGGCGGCCGCCGCCGCCGCCGCCGCTGCCGCCGCCGCCGAGGAGCCGTTCCGCGCCGCGCCCGCCACGCCGAAGCCCGGGAGGCCGGAGCCCACGGCCCCGCAGCTGCCCGCCGAGGCTGAGGAGGAGGAGCGTTTCCAGGGGTGGAAGCCTTTGCCGAAGGAGGACGCGCTGTCCGAAAGGGCGGACGGCGAGGGGCTGGGGCTGCCGATCTTGTTGCAGGTCGCGGCGAGCATGGCCAGCGGCGTGGAGCCTACCCGCGGTTCCTCCTGCGGGCACAGAGGGGAGAGCGCCGTCCCGCCGGCGTCAGGGGTGGAGTGGCCCCGCGCCGCCGCCCCGCGCCCCGTGCTCCGCGCCCGGCACCGCTCCGCTCCGCGCCCGGCCCCGCTCCGCTCCGCTCCGCCGCCCGGCCCCGGGCGCAAAGTTTCGCGACTCCCGCGGGGGGATCCCTTCGCTGGGGCCGGCACCGCAGCTCTGCCTCCAAACGCCTACCGGGGCTTTTTTTCACCATCCAACTCCCCTCCCCCGAAGGAGCTCAGGAAGGGTTAAAAAGGGGGAAGAAAAAAAGAGAGGGGAAAAAAGTTGCCTCTGTTACCGTAGCTTTAAAGATGCCCCCGGCACGGCGGCAGCTACGTTTCAGCCTGCTCCCTTTCCCCGGGACGTGGCTGGTCCCCGTCCCTCAGGCCAGTAAGGCTGTTTTCTTAAATACAGAATCGCAGGACTATCAAATTACTGCTTTTTTTTTTTTTCTTTAAGCGTCCTTTAAATCAGCCTAATTTACGTAGCAACGATAATGAAATACATATATAAATTTAGCATATGTAAATATGTATGCATACACGAGTTGAACGTACCTGCTAGACACGGTGGGTTGTGTTATTTTAAAGGGAAATAAAAAGCCACAATCTGTTGCAAATTTTTTTTTAAAAATTGCACGCAAAAAAACCCCGATAGTGCTGGGTTTGGGATTATTTTTTTGTTTGTTGTTTTTTTTTCTTCCAGCAGTCACATGTAAAGAAGAAAAACCACTTCTTCGGGGGCACAGGAACAGCACAGCCCAGGCGCTGTAGGTTGTTTCTACAAATGCCCTTAAAACCTTTTCTTGCTCACTGAAAAGTGGCTCTGCCCCCTTTTCCCCCTCTCACTCTTTCTTTTCACCTAAATTCACTTGTACTTAAGCTAAAAAAAAAAAAAAAAAAAAAAAAAAAAAGAAAAAAAAAAAAAGAAAAAAAAAAAAAGAAAAAGAAAAAAAACCCAGGCTGAATAGAGGAGACTGATAGCCCCGGTCAAGACAGGGGTTATTTTAACCCCCTCCAATCGACAATAAAAAGAAACCAATTAAACCAGCAAGAGAAAAAAATCCTTAGACTCACCCCTAGAAGTGAAGTTGCCATCACACAAAAGTGCCCTCCTCTCAGAGGATCTTTTTTATATTGATAAATCAGAGGCAGTGTTTTTTTTAGAGGTGTGCAATACAATGATCAGTTCCGCCCATTCCACCACAATTGTAGCTCCCTCGCCGGCTTTGAAGTGCCGCTGAGCCGCCGCCAGCCAATCCCCGGCACCGCCGCCTCGCTCGCCGACGTGACCGCGTGAAGTCAGCAGCGCCGTCGGGCCGGGCCGCGGGCCCCGCCGGCGCTGATGACCTCACGCACTCACGCCGGCGAGCGGCGCGGCTGCGGTGCCGGTCCGCAGGGACCGCTCACCCCGGGCCGGGCCGCTTCGTCCCGGCCGCCCCTTTCCATCAGCCCCCCACCCCACAGCCGTGTGCGCAATTTGACAACAGTTGCTTTTGAGGTTGTTGGGGTTTTTTCCCCCTCGGAGCGGTTTATGTTTGAATTTTTATACCATCATGATCATCATCATAATCTCAGTGTTACTATGATTATCGGCGCGGAGAGAGCGGTAGCACCCCTTTTCTACACTAGCCTCCCTTTCCCCTCTTCCCGATCCCTTCTGGTCAGCCCCTCTTCTCCAGTTGTCCCGGCAAGGGGGGAGAACACTTTAGGTCACTGCTGCCCGTCGTTCCCTCCCTTCTCGCCCTCGCCGGCCGCGCTTTCAGGCGTGATTCTTAGCGGAGGGGCTGCACAAGCGGAGTCCGCCCGGGCGGCACCGGCACAAGCAGGGGCTGGCTTCCAGCCGCCTCGTCCCCCCGAAGGTGAGCGCTCTGCTCTCCTCGGCCGGCTCTGCGAGGCTGCGGGGAAGGGCAGAGCCCTCTCCCCCTGTCCCTGCGGGACCCCGCTCGGCCCGGCCCTGCTCGCCCAGGTGCTCTCACCCCCCGCGGGTTTTCCACGGCTTTGCTTAGCTCTCCAGGGGATGTTTTTCCTCTTTCTCTCGGCTCCGGTTTTGACCCGTTTCCGTGTCGTGGGGATATTGACTGTACATCATATCTATTGATCAAGGGAGTAATGTACATTATCATACTTTGAAGTAAGAGTGAAGTAAATTAATGAACTGCTTTCTTTCTCTGAAAGCTGACGCTTACCATAAATGTCGCGTTTCTCTCTGCGAGCTGCTCTGAATGATTTTAGCCTGTTGAGAAGGCGTGACAGGCCAGCCCAGAAGGAGGAAGGGGTGGGGGAAGGAGGGAACTCCGTTTAACAAATAAAAAAGAATTAACTTCATTGCTTTGGTCTCCTTCTATAATGATATTCATTTTACAGACCTAACGCACACTTGTTTAAATTTCGGATTTAATTTAATCAATACTATCACCCGCAAAGAGGGGAAGAACATTTCCCGGAGATACTCCCTTGTATGAATGCTCATTAACTTTTTATCTTCACTTTCTTTATCTGCTGGAGATGGGGAGGAACTATTAAGACATAGATCAGAAAGCGTAAGAGCAAAACAAGCATCGTGAGCATTACATTTTAGATGAACACAAAATCGCATTTTGTGGTGTGCCAGGTTGGGTAAAAAGATCGACACGCATTCCTTTCAGCCCCAGAAAGTCTGGGAGACTTTGCCATACACCGGGGAAGTAGAAGCCTTTAGTGATATATCTCTTTTTAGGACAACCTCGCCGGGTGGGTCTTCCATTCGCATCCGTATTTTGTCTGCACTTGTCTGCCCAGAGGAAACGTGTCCTTTTTTGATCTTTTCGTGTTTGTTTGTTCCGATGCTTGCCTTGACTCCTTTGATTTGGGGTCGAAAATCCTTAATTTTCAGTGCGCTTTTCCTTTAAAAGCACCGTGTGGGAAATTTTGAAAAACTCGTTGTAAAAATAGTCGTGGGAGTCTTTACAAGGGAACTCAACTGAGAGGGAGGAAAAAAAAAAGGCAAATACATCAGAACAGAAATCACAAAACTCCTGCCAGTGGGCATCCTCCTGCTACTCTGATAATTTCCCCGAAACTGGAAAAGCTGCAGCTTCTGAACTTTGAGAGCGGTGAGCTGATATTTTCTGAATTGGCCACGGAAACATCTGTAACCTTCCTCCTTTGTATACATTGCCTGCTGGGCAAAGGATTTAAGCAAGCTTACAATTTTGTTTGCATTTGCCTTATTGACCACTGCACTTAAGGGTGCAGTACATCAACATAATATGCAGGTGGGGGCGGCGGCGGGGTGGGAGGGAGCCAGCAAAGAGAGGTTTTACAGAAATTAATTAAAACTTTTTTTTTCCCCCCATTTGAAGTTTAATGTACGGGAGGAGATAAATGTTCGTGCCGTTTCTTGAAAACCTGTGGGATCCACTCTCAATAAAGCTAAAATCTATTAGCATTCTGTATGCATCTGCAGCATAAATTTCATTTGAATTTCAAATTTAATAAACCAGGAGGTTTTTAATCATCCCTGGTTTTATTTGTTTGATATTAACATGCTTATTGACCGGGTCTGTTGACCAGTTTGATCATTACAGGACAGCAAAAAGTTAATTAAAACGACCACAGCTCCTTAATCATATCATCTGTCTCATCCATGTCGCTCCCTTTATTACAGCCTATGATGGATAGTCTCCCAGATTAATTTCTCTGTTTCTTCGATTTGGACATCAGCTTTTTGGACCTAATTTACATCCTGGGAACAACTTGCTCAAGTCTGCCTAACATCTTGAGCCTACAATGTAGATTAGCAATCTCGGAACTTTAGACACAACGATAGCTGTCGCTAACCTTTCGGGAAGGGGGGTGGATTTTCTTGGAGCATACCCCGATTCTCCGCGCTGCGACGGGCATGCGGACAGAGATGGATAGACCCTTGCACCAGAGGTCCTCGCCTGTCTACAGACAGCGCTACCGGGGTGTAGAGGGGGATTTCTCTTTGAGGAAACAGAGGTCTGTGCTATTTGAAAGGGCGTAGCTGGAAAGATTAGGCTGCGGGCTGACCACGCCGTGTGCTGAATGTCCGTGCTAGCGAGGGAAAGCGATTCACGCCACCCTTGCGCCAATTTAGGGGCACACGGGAGGGAGCCAGACTCCCCTGTCGCCTCCCTGGCGGTGCGGCTCCGCTCCGCCGTCTGTCAGGTGTCCAGCGAGGGGGAAGCCTCGCTCCTCGGCGTCCAGCGGCTCCTAGCTCCTCTCCCGCGGTCACGGGGGAAGCCTCTAGGCGGGGGCCTTCTCCTCGCCCTCGCTGGGCTCCGTGCTCTGGAAAAGGCTGCTTTGCCCCCGTGTTTGCCCCACCGCCCCGTACCTGCTGCCCTGGGCTGGGCAGGTGAGGGCCAGGAGGTGTCCCCTTCGCCCGACACCTTCACCTAGAATCCGTCACCTGGAAGATTTACCGAGGGCTGACAAACAACTCTTCACACGCACAAGGCTTGGCTTGTTCGGGGAGCCGAGAAAGGGGAATGGGACGTAAACGAGACAAAAAAGCCACCAGCCAGAAAGGACCGTGCTGTGCCCGGCGGTCACTGAGCTGAGAGGGTGGTTAATGTCTTCCTTAAACCTCTACCTGCACCCCTGCATTGCTGTGCTTCACTTGGGACGTTTCCCTCCCTGCCTCACTGGGCACTTTCGTGGGGAGCGGAGCTCCCTGTCGGGCACGGGGCGCGGCGCGGACGGTGCGTGTGCGCCGCTGCCTCCTCCTATTGCCTGTGTGGGATTTTTCTCCCGTAGGTGTAAACGTGCCCCGGGTACCCGGTAACCCTGCCGGTGTAAACGTGCCCCAGGTACCCGGTAACCCTGCCGGTGTAAACGTGCCCCGGGTACCCGGTAACCCTGCCGGTGTAAACGTGCCCCGGGTACCCGGTAACCCTGCCGGTGTAAACGTGCCCCGGGTACCCGGTAACCCTGCCGGTGTAAACGTGCCCCAGGTACCCGCAGCCCTGCCGGTGTCCCCGTCCCGCTGCCCTCCCGCGTTTCCCAGCCTGGGGCGGCCTGACTGCTCCTCGGCGCAGCCGGCGGGGAGAGGGGCCCGGCAGAGCCCGGGCTTCTCTCTGCAGAGGGGACACGCCGACCTGTCTACAGCCGGCGGAGGGGATTCGCGATTCACTTCGACGTCTTTCCTCGTCTGTTTACTTATTTGTCTGGATCGGTGCTTAAAAAAAAAAAAAAAAAAAAAAAAAAAGGCAGCTAGCTACGTCTCGGAAGGGTCCCTGTAATTAAATTAGCCGGGAAGACACCGCGCACATGCTGGTGTGTGCATGCCTGGGGAGGGAGAGGAAGAGGCACCTTCACACCCACTCTGTTTACATCGCCGGTGTGCGCCTGGATCCCATCCGCATCTCCTCCTTCTTCTCCCCGTTTCTTTCCCTGCCCTCCCCACCCCCCCAGGCCCACCCCCGCTCTCCCGGTACGCTATCGCTGGGCTCGCATCGGCTCCTGGGCGGTCATGTAAGTACCGGGAGGCGCCGGCGGGGAGAGCGAGCGCCCGGGCTGAGCGCGCCGGCACCGGGCGGGGCGCAGCGCGGAGCCCCCGCTGCCGCTCCTGCGGTCCTGCCTAGAATAGATTTGTTTAAGCTGCTTTCTGGTTTGGTTTTTTTTTTCCTATTATATATCACCTTCTCCCAGGCACCACTTACAGTTAAAAACTACTAAATTCTTCTCCTCAGAGGTATTGATTTCTTTTCATTCTGCTCCGTTAGGAGAGGAGGTAATGCTTCCAGATTACCCCGCGTCTCCTCCAGACGGTTGACAATTGCAATCGCAGTTTCGGGAAGATAAATGTTACTTTGGGAATTGTGCTTAATTACAAATAATCTAGGAGCTGCTCCGGGTCCGATGGTTTAACCACACGTGTTCAAATCATAGTACAAGCTTTTCAAGAGGGTGCCAAGATATAGTAACCGTTTGGAAAATCGGTGTGTAAGACAGGACGCTCCCATTAAACAGGCTGCCTGAAGCTGGGTCACGTCCCGAAATACATGCTATTTATTTATAAACATACAAATATATAAATGTATGTACACATGGGCGCCTGTGGATATGTGCGCGTATATGAATGTGTGTGACAGGCACTCGCATATGCAAATCCTAAAACACTTAAAATCGTAGCCTAAGGAGAACATAGAAGAAAAGGAAAGCTTTCTACGCTTGT